ATGTTTGGGTTTTCATTTGTTTTTCCAGTTTCCGATGGATGCACGAAAAAATGATTGAATGATAATTTGTTGCGTCATCAAAGAGGCATACGGTGCATTTCTCAAATTTGGATTTAGTCTATTTGTTCACGAGATATGTCGTTTTAAAGCGAACCGTGTTTTTCGGAAAATCTCCTTGAAAAACCCACTTGGAATTTTCCGACCCTGCTCAATTTCAATAGGCTTCGTCTCTTCCTGATAGAGGTTTTTTTCACAAAAAATGAAATCGATCGGACCACTTTTGCGATTTGTAGAGTGATTACAAGGAACTTCCGGTGAAAAATCGAAAAAACCCGGAAAAACCACCTTAGAGTTTTCCGATTTCCTTCATATTTTAATGACATAATATTGTTTTGAGTACAATAAGATGGCAAAATTTCAAGTCGATATGTCAAAGGGTTCCGGAGATATATCGATTTATGATTAACACAGAGTACAGACAGACAGACAGACAGACCACACACAAAAACCAAAGTTGCTCAAAATTCGATGGGGATCATTTTCTCCAAAGCAACTATACCTCTATCTCGCTTAGTTTCCGAGATAGCATTTTTGACACGGCCGTAGTATACTCCACTATGTATAGCGTCGTATAACAAGCTCAATGACAAGAAATCATTGCAGCATCTACATAGGGCACCAACGAGAATTAAGAGAGTCGAGGGTTCCTTTTAATGGAATTCCATTTATATAATAATAATGATAATAATAATAATAATAATAATAATAATAAAAATAATAATAATATAAGAGCATATTTTCTCAAGCATCACATGACCTCTAGCCACTACTTGAACATTATCGATAATATCTCAAACACTTCGGCGTTACAGTTCTGTTGTTTTTGTCAAATAATAAGCTAGAAACATAATTCATTACGATATTGTGAATCAAATAACGATGTTTTGAACAAAAAATCATTGCAGTATCTACTGGGTACATCAACAAGAATTCAGAGAGTCGAGGGCTCCTTCAAATAGAATTCAATTTATATTAGCATATTTTCTCAAGCATCTCATAACCTCGAATGACTACTCGAATATTATCGATTATCAAACACTCATAATTGTTTTGTCCAAATACTTCAACCTGCAGATGCATACGAGTACATTTCATGCAAATGGAGTTGAATCACAATCACGAGAGGAATCGAAAAATGTTGTGAGATACATGATGTCCCATTGAAAATAACAAAGATGACATCATAACATTCGGAAAATCCGGAAGCGTCATAATCCCATATAGCACGAGTACGTCCCCAAAACGTACTGAGAACGTCCGGCCAAGACGTTTCGTACGTACTGGGGACGTCCAGATTTGGTACGGTCGACGTTCAGGTACGTACTGGGGACGTCCAGATTCCGCGCGTTTGTACATCCTCAGTACGTCCGTTCAGGACCATGGATACATAAATCAACGGAGATTCGCCTCTTTCCACTCAGATTGTCGAAAAAGAGATTTAGATGAAGTAGGAAGTCTTATTTTGAATGAAAAAAAAAAGAAGGGATCGATCTCACGACCTTTAGATCACCAGGCAGATGCTCAACCTATTACTCTGTAGAACAGTTGTTGATTAACAATATACAACAAGCAATATCATGTGCGAATGCCGATTGACTCATCATATCGATACTTTCATAGAATTAGATAATCACGGCAAAGAATACTTAAATAGATGTTTTGTGATCTGGTGAGGCCAGTAAACAATGAATTCATTGTGAGCATTGTATTATGTTTATGTTTGCAAGTTTCCTTTATTAATAGATCTCAGAGAACGAGGGTAGAAATTATATATGCAATGATTTCGATTATCATTAAACAATTTATTCAAACTCAACAAAAAGTCGATAACGTCCAGAGTTGGACGTACCCAGTTCATCGGAATCGTACGTACCCAGTACGTCCAGGAATGGTCGTTTTGAGTATCCTTGACAAGGTCCCGAACGTTCAGACCTAAATGGGACCTAAACTGGATGTCCCCAGGACGTCGAGTGCTACATGGGATGATGACAATGTTTCAATTAAATTTTTAATTTTATGAATTGTGCTATTCCTATTTCTCCATATATAGATCGCGTTAACTAATAAAGATATACAGGGTGACATTCTGAAAACTTTCCACCCTCAATATCTTCCTTCCAGTGAATAATATGAAAAATCGAGAATACAGGTCAATTTTATTTTTGAGAGGGAGGACACTTGAAATGAATATCCCTAGAAGGCGTAGATGTTACCCTTGAAATCCAAAATGAGAAAGGGTGTCAAGTGACTCATCATTTTGAAGGGCGCACAATTATCTTTCCAATAGTAGTATAGTTTATCATCTTCTGTTGAGCAGTTTCCGAAGATTTTCGTGTCAATTCGAAAACTTCCCACCCCTAATATCTTCCTCCCAGTGAATAATATGGAAAATCGAAAAGATATGGGTCTAATCCACTCTCGAAGGTGACACTTTAAATGCATATTTTCAGACCTCTTGGTTCAACCCTCTAGGAGGAGTAGATGTTACTCTTAGAACCTTATATCGAAAAGGGTATACATTATTTCAAAGGGCGTTCGATTATCTTCTCAACAGTACTCTAGTTTATCATTTCTGGGTGAGCAGTTTTCGAAATATGTCGTTATGAACTCACAGAAGTAATTAGAACATGCCTGTTGATGAGATGCTGAGATGCATTAGAACTATACCTACCTTTTGGACTGAAAGGAGAGTCAATACAATAATACTAACCTGAAAACTATGCATCTCAGTGCAGGCATGTTTTAATTACTTCTGTAAGTTTAGAACGGCATTTTGCGGAAACTACCCATCAAAAAATGAGAAACTAGGGTATTGTTGAAAAGATACTTGAACGCCTTCCAAAATAATGTGCATCTTGACCCTCCTTTTCATATGAGATTCTGAGGGTAACATGATAATAATAAACATAATAAATGCTTTTTTTGTCTCAATGAAACAAAAGGCAGAGTTCAACTCGCCGATGAATCGACAGCTGCTCTTCCACTCAACATCTACCCCTCCTAAGGGATTGAACAAAGAAGCAGGCTGAAAATATGCATTTCAAGTGTCTTTCCTGAGAATCAAATTGACGTGTTTCTTCGATTTTTCATACCATTTACTGAAAGGGAGATATTAAGGTGGAAGTTTTCTGAGTGACACGACATTTTTCGGAAACTGCTCAACAGAAAATCATTAACTAGGGTATCGTTGGAAAGAAAATTGAACGCTTCCAAAATGATGTGCCATTTGACCCCCATTTCATTTGAGATTCTAATGGTAACATCTACTCCTCCTCGGAGGTTTAACTAAGTGGGCTAAAATTTATAATTTAAAGTGTCCCTTTCGAGAATCAAATCGTCCTGTTTTTTCGATTTCTCATATTATTCACTGGAAGAAAGTTATTGAGGGTTTCAGGGTGTGGGGGTGGGGTTTCGAAATATCACCCTTATACCTTATTGTACATGGCATTTCAAAAAAAAGATCATCGGTCATCTCTAGATATTTTTTGATGTGCATGCCTTTTATATTATGTGGCATCTAGTTAACATTCGTTTTCGATTAACATTTCTAGCTATCATAGGACTCGAGCCGTCATAGTAAACACAAATGGAACGTTTAATTTTTTGAATTGACTTGGCCGTTACTTGATGGAAATCCATGAAAGATGTAAAAACTTCACAAATACCAATGGATTCTTCAGATTTCATTGAAGAATTGGACATTATAAAACAAGTTGGTCACAACAATGGCTACCCACCCCACCTTATTGATAGAATTCACAATAGACATCGACAAAAATGTATCAATCATAGTTTAGAACCTTTTTCTCTCCAATTCCATTCAGAGGTGAAGTATCCAAGAATTTGAAAAATATTTTCCATCGTTTCAGCACAGATATTAACATTTCCTTCCAAACTTTAGACACAATTTCTCATAATTTCGTTAATACTAAAGACAAATTACCACCTACGTCTAAATCAGGTGTATATAGAAGCTCTTGTTTGGAACTCGATTGTCATGCACAATATATTGGTCAAACTGGTAGAAAAACTCATACGAGAGTGAACGAACATGTAAAATATATTGAAAAATTCAGAAATATCATTATTGACGAAGATTTCGATACCCAAAGTACATTTGTTAACCATGTGCTTAACTCTGAACACTCATTTAACATCATCACTGATTTCAGAATTTTACATATTTGCCAGAAGGGTAGTTTGCTGAATCTGTTGAAAATTTTTGAGATCGCTTCATCTTTTAAGGACAAAAATATTCTTTCATTCAATGAACAAATCAATTTAGATTGTGTTATTTGTTTGTGTTATTGTTTCCTCTTGCTTTGTCCCCAGTGTAAGTTTATTTTTCAAAATTCTCAGAGCATTGTTAACCTTAGGTTGTTCCTTCTACTATCTTTATATCCTGATATCACCATCTACAAGTTTGTCATGATTTTCATGGAATGAATTGTCTCTTGTCTTGCATCACCGTTGCCAGCTGAAGCATCAGTTGTATGTCATAGTTGGGTTTGACACTGACATTTGGTCACATGGTATCAAGTTAATCCAGTGAGATCAAGATGATGACGTTTTTTTCATTTTTGGATGTCTTTTGGCCTCCTAATGTGACGATTCCACTGTCTCATTGGGGCACAAGGCCCCTGTTTAGAAAACCTGTCAAATTAACAAACGTTCAACTTTTCATAATATTATAAAATTCTTTTGTAACTTCACGTGATCACAAAAACATTTTTTATGCCCCACGTGAGTACTACAATGTTTCACCATTAATACCCTATCATTGTTGGTTTGTTCTTTGTAGAATAATTTTCCCAATCGGCTGATGATGGATACTCTATAGATCCGAAACATGCCTCCTCTCTATTTATGATCTGATGATTGATGATATTAAACGTTGTGGAGACGACTCGGAGTATTAGTTCCGCGAAATTCTTCATCATACGACATGTTCCGCTTACACAGTAGCTCCATCAGCTGAAATACTGGTACAATGAACTGTTCAAGATCTACAGCTGTATCACTCAAAATAGGAGATTTTCAGGCCTCTATATTGATGTTGATATACTACCTAGGATATGTGAACGACAAAATGAACCTCATAGATTCCTGCTCTCATCAGAGACATCATAAAACTCATTAGACGTTGATGTTTAATTATTTTCTACAGGATCATGCTTCACCTCTTATCACTGACGAATCCTCCCATCACAGATGCCTCATTCCCATCACACCTCCCTTTGGTGTAGTCCGAATAGCTACCGCACTTTCTACCAACGAACCCGCCGCTTCTCAGGCTCTCAGCGTAGTAGGCATAGGCTCTGGAATGCGCGCAGGATCCCGTTAGGTCCATTCCACATCCATTCTGGCTGCGCCCTCCATTGGGAAAATAGTCGGCATCACCCATGGCTACTCCGAAGCCCAGCAAACCTCCGTTCGTGTGGATGACTTGGACGAAGTGTGCGTCGGATGCGTCGAGGCGATTGTCTTTGTTTTTGACGGTGAAGAGCGGACCGGCTGGGTCTAGACCGACTATACGGTCCACTCGACCACCAAGAGCAGCACCTAGAATCATGCACTGAGGAAAAACATTGTTGCAAATAAATTGATTTATCTACAACTATGGATTTTTGGATGTATGATAAATTGATATTCATCATACAGGACGTGGAAAGAGATTCTGAATTGAGAAAACCTAATCCGAATCTGCGATTGAGGTCTATAAAAATAATAAATTTTCATCGTTCAAGTTTGAACCCCTTGATTGGGTATTGATCAAGTATTGGAAAGGAATATTCTCAGTTATATTTATGAACACTGAAAAATGGATGAATATATGAAGAAATACATTGAGAATTCGCATTCATGATGAGAATTTGAAAACAAGATCTTCTGAAGTAGAGAATTCGCATTCTCCTTCATATGAAGATGAGCACATAATATTATTCTGAATATTCAACAGAAAACAACTACTTTCCTGGCTATTTGCCACGGCGAACATTGAATTATATCTGTTGAATATACGAAAAGAGAGCGGAAAAAATTAAAACCCACTAAAATTGAGAATTGACATTATCTCTCAAATATTTGTGAGAGATATAATTCCCATATCACTGATACGAATGATTTTTTTTTGAAGTTCCAAGCTCATCAAGATCAGAGTTTATACAAGTATACTTCTCCTAAACATTTCAATCTTCATTTCAATATTGAACATATTGGTAAGTTATATTTTTATATCATAATACATCATAGTCATCTGTTCGATTCGAGAGATGTCAATTCTCAATTTCAGAGTATTTTGATTTTTCATGCTCTCTTTCTGGATATTCAACAGATATAATTCAATGTTCGTCGTGGCATATAGCCAAGAAAGTAGTTGTTTTCTGTTGAATTAGCCAAGAAAGAATCAATATTCTCATCACATGGAGTATGCGAATTCTCAATGTATTTCTTTATACAGTGTGACCCACTTCTAAAGGAAACACCCCTGCATCTTACGTAATCGTTGGGTGAGGATCCTGAAATTTGCTGGAGCGAGAGATATACCAAAAATGCACTCTATGACTAAATGGGGTCATCTTCAGTGATATTCACTGCTCGCCAACAGCCATGGAACCACCCCAATTCCCGGAAAATGATTGATCATATTCATATGACCATCTCTACTACCAACGAAGCAAAACCACAGTTTTGACTCCAGTATATGCTCAGCTTTCCACTTCATCATTCGAATTTGTCAATTCACGAATGATCTGAATGAACTTGTGAATCCCATTTTTGTAGAAGCTCTCGATATTATTTTCTTCTTCGAAAACATGTCAACCGCTTCTGGTACTCTTGAATGGATCAAATTCATGCATAATTATCCTGAGGTGAATATAACAACGGATATGGGTATGAATTTGGAAAACCCTGATGAGAGGACAATGGATTCGTTCACTGAAGAAAATTGTGCTATCAGAGTTTTTGCTGAGATATTACTTGCTACCATTACAATAAACCGTATTACCGTTATACATTTTCGAATAGAAGCAACACCTTGGAATCCTATGATAGCAATAACTACTTTGCTGAAAGTGAATTTCCTGCCACAGGAAGGTATACTGTTGTCGCTATCATCAGGCAGCCACTCTGGGACAGCATGATTTTTTCCATAATTGCGTCTAGCTGAACTACTACTAGGTTAGGTTAGGTTCCATGTGAGTGGGGCGAATACCTCCCCTCCACTGCGACCCCAGATGGGTCTATTGTTGCTCTCCCCTAGAGGTTATGACTCACCGTACAATCCACATCTTTTTACAAAGTTCATGGTTGAATTGGGTGAGATTCGTCTGAAATCGATAGGTTCTAAATTGGTAAAGCCAAATGTGTCGAACCTAAGTCTTTCTAAGCTAGAGCATGAACATAATATGTGTTCAGCCGTTTTGTCTTCCACACAACAGAACCGACAGTCCGTTTGTTGGTTCAGACCCATCCTTCCCAGGTGGTATCTTAGACGACAGTGTCCCGTAAGCAGTCCAGTCAGAATTCGCAGGTTACTCCTGCTCCATTCTAGGATCTGCCTGGTTATTTTTTCCGATGGTTTAGGCAGGAACGCCTTTGAATGGGTTAATCCTGGTAATTCAGACCAGTACGTGAGTGTTTTTCCCTCCGCCCAGCCCGAGATAGTTGTTTTCGCCGCACTTGCGGTGACCCCAAAATATGGTTCTGGTCCTTTGAACACAGATTCGGTTCCCTGTTTGGTGAGGATATCGGCTTTCTTGTTACCCTCCACGCCCTGGTGTCCAGGCACCCACAGCAAAGTGAACTACTACTAGTGAGTAGAACTGCAGTAACTACCAATAATACAAATATCAGTCTGCCACGAAAATAATATTTGATGAACCTATTTGGGGTTATTTAGCGCCTACTTATCGTTTTTCGATATTTTGTTGATCTGTCCCTCTCTATATAAGCATTTGTCAGTAACTTGCTTGATCAATCATTCACAGTTGAGCTCTTGATGCAAACCCATGTACAGGACGACAATCTCGACGACACGACAGTTACGAATACTTTTCCTCTTGAAGTAAATTCATTATTCAGATTCTGAATCTGATTTCAAATATAAAATGGAAACAGTTTTTAACAAATGAAAAAATCTCCTGTGCCTCTTTCAATACTTTCGTAGATCTGAGTGCTTCAGTTATCACCAGGATTGATGGAATGATAAAGGTTGGTTTTTTCGAGGTATTTTGACTGAAATTCAAATATTTTACATTCACCATTTCCTTCTTTTTGGTACCATAAAACATCAAAATTTCCGAATATGTTACAGAGTTTCTCTATAGAATGTGATCTAACAACTTATTGTGAGCAAAAATGTTCAGGTTATGAAATTATTTGAACGATGTTACTGGTATCATTGTGTTTTCCTGTACGCATCTGTAATATCTTGCCCAGTTTTCGAATACAATGGTTTCAGAAGGTTTCAGAAAAATTCTTCTCCTTAGCAATTACTCAATTACCTTTTGTTTCTCCTGAGGGTACATGATACAATTATTGATCTATTGAATTTCAAAGATCATTGGTTCGAAACTTTCTCTAGGAATCAATGAATTGCTATTCATACCAAACATCAGGGTGGGAATTATGGTGAAGTGAAATTGGATATCAGTCAAAATGTCACCTTCCTTGATGACAACAATCCTGGAAAATGACTGAATAACTACAGTAAGAAGGTCATACAACTATCTATATGATCACCCATCAAAAGTAGCAAAGTTCCCTACCTACGATTATAACATTGCCCTACTCCCATTATTAGATGCACTCACTAGCGGATATACAGATGCACTCGCTAGTGGCGGCAAGGTTCTATATCTAATAATCGCAGGTGGGCTATAATCAGCAAAGTCGATTTCATAATCACAGGTGATAACTTGCTTGTCCCCTACGCTATTATTGTTTCTTGGTGGGGTAATTCGATTTCTGACTATGGTTAATAGGAATTGTCCTCAGTGTTTGCATTGAGTAGACTTACCAGCATTTCCACAGATATGAGCTCCTAAGGAATGCCCAACAAATTTAACCTCATTCAGTTTCAACCCAAATTCACGTTTCAAATCCTTGATGAAGTCAGCTACATACTGCCCTACTCTGACTACGGCATTTCTAGCCGAAATATAGTTCCTCCCAGCCATCGGACTCCAGTCCACAACGAAAACATTGATATCCTCATGACTAAGGATAGTTTCCCTAATTTTATAGTTCACATCAGATTCGTTATGGTTCTTCCAACCGTGGATTATGAACAGACTAGCCTTTCTGGGCTGAAAATCTGTGTTATGCAGTCGATCTAAAGTAGAACTCCTGATTTTGATGCTGTGGCTCGGATGACGCTGGCTGTAGAAATGGTAGGTCAGGTCGCTTGCTCGACCTAGAGGAGGTATCGAATGATTTGAAGCCTCTTCATCAATGTCCAAGTCATTTCCTGCGAATAAGGAAGCATTCATGACAAGAGGAATTAGAGCAATTTTTTATTATATCATCTCATCTTCGAATTCCAATTGAATATACAAAAATATGGTATACGATTACTGGGTGTGATATGATCATGGAACAAAAAACCATTTTATTCAGTTATATTGTATGAATGATCTACAATTACATTTCTGTCAGAACAAAAAAAGGTATAAAGAATTATCAACATTGAGGAGAACTCATCCCTTTCAATGATGATGCAGAAAACTTTGAGGTAAGAATTAAGGATCAAAGTGTGAAAAAAATATTTCAATGAACATCGTGGTATGTCCGGAAACATTGATAACAAATTGCGAGGTGACATTTTTCTTCAGTTTTCTACGTTAACATGATACCTCACACAAAACAATGCGCGAAGAAAAACAGTGCGCGAAGTACCCACTTCGCGCATTGTTATGTAAAATATGAGAAATATTTTCATTCCAACTTTATACTTAGTCCTCAATCGAGCAAACATCTACGAGATCATTTATTATATTCCTATTATTTTCGTGGACCATCGTGCGTACTTAGGGAGGATAGGGGAAGGCCTTTCAAGCCAGTTCAACAATATTTTTCATATCAAGCTAAGCATATTTTCACTTTAGAACTATGTTTCTTGTCGTTTGTAAAAAAAAATTTGTTTGTAACTCGACAATTAATTTAACTCGGCTACGCCTCGATGAAAAAATGAGATCTCGATCACCAAAGTAGCATTTCGTGCTCTAGATACAAAAATAACTATTATCTACGCTACGCCTCGTTAAAAAAATCAGATCTTGATCACCAAAGTAGCATTTCGCGCTCTAGATACAAAAATAACTATTGAAACATCTTCAAAGAGAAATCGATTATTTATTTGTGTTATTTGAATCTAGTTCGAAATATACACAACAGTGTATCGATGAGCATTATTTTTGCAGTTTTGTTATTTATATAGTTACATATGTGTGATCCTAATAGGCAACCCGATTGGCACTTCACACTTTTAATTGCAACTGATTCATTTGTCATAGCGTTTTGAGGCATCGACAACATAAACTTTCCATTCAGAAACAAAGAAATTGATCATGTGGTTCTCAAACAGATTTTTAGTAGGAAATAATTCAGTTATGAAACTCACCCTCACTCTGGACAATGACTACCAATGAGAGCAGAAAAAGAAATACTTCCATTTTGGACAGTAAATCAATTCAGAAAAATATAGTGTATTCTATATTGTCAACTGAGAAAAAAATATGGTGATATTATACGGGATAGGGTACTTCACAAAACTCGAGTGATCTTTGTTAAGTTCATGTATAAATAAATAAATTTATCAAGATGAGATTGGCATTCAATAGCAATTGATTGACAGAGTATTTTTCCTTGATCATGATTATCTTTATCATCAGGAAAAACAAAAACAACAGTGTCTCACATATCTAGTTAGCACAACGGCAACGAATTATCACAGCCTAGTTTTTATGCAGTGGGTGTTGGCGAGATGTAAGCAGACCAATATGATTGTTGTTTGACTGCATGAAACCAAAGATATTGACATTATTGATCAATACAAGGAATACACAAGGAATACACAAGAAACAGAATCTTTCGTGATCGGATTTTCAAATTCGATGGTAGTACTTTAGACGTTTACGGAAAACAGGACATAGGATCATTCTGATAATTTGGATACTCAAGTAGTTGTACTTGGTCTATCGATCTGAGATATTCTCAGCAATGCAGCGTTGCCACTTATACCAGAAAGTAGTAGCAACTTTGATATTTCAAATGGAACACCCTGTATTCCATCGCATTTTTGAATTCTCCCTGAACAGCTGATTCTATCATTGCATCACACGGGATCTAGTGGGTATGATTACAGAGATATAGAATGTTCAATATCGAGATTTTTCAACTTTAGGATTTTTTTGTGTGGAAACTATTTATTATTCGTCAAAACGGCTACTATGTTTCTGTCTTAACTTTTGTTCCACTATATACTTACATTTAATTGGACAAATACAGGGTGGTTCAAGATTCAGAACTCTAATCACCCTGTATTCGTTCCAATTAAATGTCAGGGGATATTGAATCGGAAGTTTAGATGGAGACATGCAAGCCGTTTTGACTGGTAATGAATAGTTTCGACACAAACATATCCTGAAGTTGAAAAATCTCGATTTGAACACCCCATATCTCTGTAATCCTTTCCGCTACACCCCAAGTGTGATGCATTGATGGAATGAGCTTTCTAGAGATAATCTGAAAATGCATTGAAATACAGGGTGTTCCATTGGAAATATCAAAGTTGCTACTACTTTTTGGTATAAGCGGCAACGCTGCATTGCTAAAAATATTTTCGATCTATAGACCAAGAGCAACTACTTGGGTGATCAAATTTTCAGATGATCCTGTATTCCGTTCTTCTTGAAATTCTAAGCTACCATCGACCGTGACCCACCCTGTATATCAAGTTGCCCAATAATTGAAAAAAAAAATTGGATTCATCACCTTCAGTTCAGCATGAAGTAACCCTAACTTTTGTTTTCCAAATGGGTCACCCTGTGTATTCTTTAGGAAAGAGAGAAAGAAACCATGTGAAACACCTGCCTTGAGTGATTATTCTCGTGATATTGTGTTGTTGATTCCTACTCGTATTGATCTTCGGACTGAACACGAATCAGTTCAACAACGAACATGAGCATCTCTGCAGACACCAACCTACTCATCAGTCCGTCGTGTTGAACGGTGTCAAACGCTTTTTCAATATCCATCAGGACCATGACAGTCATCTTGGTTAAAGGCTTCTTCCATCCCGCGTGAACAATTCTGGCCACTTGGGACGTGTTGCTATGTCCCTTAGATTAGATTAGTCAACCATATGAAGAATTGTTTTGTCTATCACTATTAGTCTAAGATCCGAACCTAAGTCGACCTTCACCGAGCTGATAATAGAACGAAATATATTTTATCATGAATTTAGTATATTAGAAAACATATTAAAAATGGGTTGCCTAAAAAAATCCTGGGCAGACTATTTTTAATTATTTTTCGAAAAATTATTTTTAATTAAATGTTGCAACATCAGGATAATAAAAAAATTATGTCCTGACTGAAAGTATGAAACGTATAGAATGTGCAGCCGTTGGGGTGTCTACTATTTACCTGGGCGAACTACTGGGTTGTCAGGTAAACACAGGTATATCGATGCCAGTTACTTTCACTGGATTGGATAATTTAAAAAAATGTATATCATCATAAGCGCTGTTTAATTGCGAACACGTTGATATAGGGTTGTCTGCGAAAATTCCGGTCCGATTAGGGGTTTTTAATTTCAACGCGCGTGGAAGTGTGTGACAGAGAGATCCGAGGTAAGTATACTGTGTGATAATAAAGAACCCAACATCGCAGTCGCTTGTGATGGGACCCTGAATAGTAGGAAGTGCGCATGCTCGGTGTGTAAACTATGGAGGGTAGAGGTACCTCTACTACCCTTCATATAGTAAACAGTGCGTGTTATTTTGGAGCAACTGATATTTCAGTAGCAAAAAAAAATAATTAATTAATTACATAATAATTAAATATATTTAATATAATACTAATATATAAAAACAATATAATATCAGTATATTGCGTTATAACCATAATGATATATCTATAATCTATAATAGACAATAAAAATATCAAATACTTACTTTGAAATTTTTTTGCTCTTTCTGGAAATAGAAACAAAGTGGACCGCCAAAAATTTAAATTAAGAAATAACAAAAATGATAGACTAGACATCTTGTATTACGATTTGAAATTTTATTAAAAAACAGTATAAATACAAAAATAATATTAATGAAAAATAAATTCTAATAAATATTTTCTATTCAATATCTGATTCATCAGAAGTATCATTTTGACTCTCGAATTCGTCTGATTCATTAGATTCTTCCTCATTTGCTTCCATTTCGACAATGTCCTGGATTTTCAAAGGAGTTTGATCTCCGATAAAACCTGTTGGTTTTAAGAAATCATCAAAATGCCAACCATAGTTTTCAGGATTTGACTTCGCACACTTTCTACTATTCAGGGTCCCATCACAAGCGACTGCGATGTTGGGTCCTTTATTATCACACAGTATACTTACCTCGGATCTCTCTGTCACACACTTCCACGCGCGTTGAAATTAAAAACCCCTAATCGGACCGGAATTTTCGCAGACAACCCTATATCAACGTGTTCGCAATTGAACAGCGCTTATGATGATATACATTTTTTTAAATTATCCAATCCAGTGAAAGTAACTGGCATCGATATACCTGTGTTTACCTGACAACCCAGTAGTTCGCCCAGGTAAATAGTAGACACCCCAACGGCTGCACATTCTATACGTTTCATACTTTCAGTCAGGACACAATTTTTTTATTATCCTGATGTTGCAACATTTAATTAAAAATAATTTTTCGAAAAATAATTAAAAATAGTCTGCCCAGGATTTTTTTAGGCAACCCATTTTTAATATGTTTTCTAATATACTAAATTCATGATAAAATATATTTCGTTCTATTATCAGCTCGGTGAAGGTCGACTTAGGTTCGGATCTTCTACTATATGGCCACCATGCTAAGCAGAGAAATAGTGCGGTAACGATCGGGCTGATTTGTTTTTTCTGGATTTGAGGATTGGTTCAATAATGCCAGTTTTGAGCGAGTCTGGCTAGTGCTGGTGTCTTATAAATAGCATTGATGAGATACTGTAATAAAACAACGATATTGCGATTCATGTTTTTCCACATCGAATCCGTCGATCTCTAGAGCTACATGTATGCTCATCTACGTGAGTACTTGTCACTGTAAGTACTGGACGAGACAAAGGGACACTGGGCATAGCCCGTTGCTATCTGGTTGCCAACCTCAATCTCTCTGCCCATTCTGGAAGTGTCTCCTCCGCATTTTTGGTTCCTGTGGTGCGCATACCCGGAACGACGGGATAGGCATGACCTGAAAATTCCTACTAAATC